AAACCTTGTTCTGCCATCCATTTACTCAAACTCTCTAGGTAGTTATGCGTTCTTTTCCTCTGTCCCCTTTCCCTTCAATCTGTCCTGTGAGTATCAAATTTTCCAAGCCTTCTTTCCTCATTATATGTCATAGAAATTTCAACTGTCTCTTTCTGATGTTAAGTATACGTGTCCTTTTTTTTTTTTTACCATATTCTCTAAAACTTCATCGTTGCTCACATGTTCGGTCCATGGTATTCTCAACATACTTGTGTAGAACCAGATTTCTATTGCTTCATGTTTTTTCTTTATCTGTGTGGAGACTGTCCAGCATTCACTGCCATATAGGAGGATTGATATTAAATAACAGTTCAGTAGTCTTTTCTTTGATTCCAACGAATTTTTTCCGTTTCTTAATACTTTGCATAGCTTTTAACAGATACAGTGATTTGAACATTTTTATGTAGTTTATCTATCTACCTATCTATATCTATCATAACCCTTTCTTTTTATATCTATCATAATCCATTCTGCTTATATCTATCTGCGCGTCTCTCGTTTTCTTTTTTGTATATTTCTCTCTGTTTTCAATTTATCTCGCATATATACACGCACACAAAGCATGTACATAAGTGTTTTTAGGAATTCTTAAATTTTTTTAGGAATTTTATCCAATTATCAATAACTTAGCAACACGGAATTAAAAATCGGGACCCAAGTCTGCCTTTATGTCACTCACTATGCTTTTTTTCGCTCCCTCTTTTTGTGTTTCTTTTTTCTCTGTTTTTCATTTGTTTATTTTATCTCTCTCTCTCTCTTACTCTACTTCTATGTGTTTCCTTTTCTCTTTCTCACTCTGTATTCCTCTATGCGTGCTTTGCTCTCTCTCTCTCTCTCGTTCTTACTTTCTGTCTTTTTTCATGTATTCTATTCTTAAATATTCTTTTGTAGAATTTTTCTATCTCAACCCCCCTCATATCTATCTATCTCTATCTGTTTCAGCTGCCTCGTATCTATCTATATATCTACCTCAGCTTTCTCATATCTCTCTCTATATATACATTACATGTGTGTGTGTGTATATATATATATATATATATATATATATATAAAGTAAAATTTCAGATATAACTAAAATTTACCTGTAAAAAGACACTATGAATAAAGATAATTTTTCGTTTTGTTTTTATTCGTGTGTGTATATATATATATATATATATTCATTCATTCTTTCTTTCTTTCTTTATTTATTTATTTATTATCCCATCTTGATTTTGTTTCTGGTTGCTTTAGACGTTTCGTTTGTTCAGTTTGTTCCCTTTTACTCGCGAGATCTACTACTGCTACTACTGTTAATAATAATAATAATAATAATAATACTCCCCTTTTAGATAACCGACAGATACCGGTGATATCATAATAAATCAAGGTATTATCAGTTAAACAAAGAGTTTTATTTTCGATGACAAATCAGAGCGAAAAATGCATAAATTTTCAAGCAGAAACAATCGAACAAAAACCTGCCCATCTTTTAATCTCAACGTCATTCTATCGGATGTTCAGTGTTTGGCCATTTATTTTCCCTTGAGTGGCGCCATTGTAAACTTGGATTCTTTTCCGCAGGAACGCACCAAGTACGTCTGCTGCGAAATCTGCTCTTTCTTTGTTAAATACCCGATTATTTATCCGCGAGCGAAAATGGCCGCGAAGCGTCTCAAAAGATAATCTGATGTATTCTTCTGGCAACGACAATACAAACTGAAGGCAGATTCGTACACTTTTATTGAACGGAAGTGGCGTAGATTTTACAAGTAAAAAACTGGATGACTTGTTTTCTCTCTAAATGAAGTGATATTTTACGAGAAAAATGTATTGCAATTATTTATTAAACAAACGCGTAAAATACTTACATTCACTCTAATGATTGCATATTAAATGATACGACAAAAAATAAAAGCAACTTAGAAATTCATTGGAAATTATTTCAAAATATAACGCTAAAACTATCAAAATATGAAGCTGGAGAAAGCAAACATTTGTCTCCTTATCATCTATAAACAACTTTACTCCTAGAAGATGTTTAAAATGGCTGAAAGTACTTAGAAAAAAGCGTATCGGGAAATATATCTATAATTTCAAACCATCAATAAAAACAATGTCTGAAAACAAGAAAAAAATCTTCAAAAGAAATATTTTGGTGGTATATTTACTTAGCGCCTATCTGTGGATTTTGGTAATCATTTATCTTTTTTGAGTGAATGAAGAAAGATAAATAACTGCGAAATACACACGTAGACTATATCTAACTATATATATATATATATACATATAGAGATAGAGAGAGAGAGAGAGAGAGGAAGATAGATAGAAGAAAAGATATATAAGTTTTTATATACTAGAACATCAATAGATAATAGAAAATCAATGACAGCGGAAAAAGTTTCGTGTGACTTTAGGCCTTCATCGGACTAAAAACTGATAGTTGTATTGTGTTGTTCCACAACGCGTGATCAGTAGTCAACACCTTTTTATACTTTCTGAAATTTAGATGAAAGATAAAATTCTACAATTTTTCGGGGTATGCCATGACAGAATTTTTCATTATAGCTTCACAACCTGCCGAAGCTAGAAAGAGGTCAGTTATTTCATTTTCTCCTCTTCTTGCCTGGTCGTCTTTTTATTATTTTGCCCTAGCCTGGGCTGCAAAACACCGGATCTAAGTCTCGACAAATTCTGGTTCATTCAAGCGACTTAAACATCCTATCGGCGACGCCATACTAATGTTTACGTTGACGTGACTGTACATGCGCATTAAGAAGAAGGGACGCTGAAATGTAAAACTTTTAAATTTAATTTTTTTTAAATATGTATTTGGGTATATAAACTAGCCAATTTCATTTGGTTTCTTTTTTATTTTGTTTATGTTTTTATCACTTTTGTTATTAAATATCCAATATTTTGATAATAGAAGAAAGGTGAAATGTTGTAAGTATCTGGATACAAGTTTACTGTGGATGATCTAGTGATTAAAACACTTTCTACACACTTAGTAAATTGCCATCCCTAATTAAATTATCATTTTGAATCAAAATTATCAGACTCATTGCAGTGAGCAATTAATGCAGCGAGTCTGTTGTTTTCTAAGAGATTCTTTTTGTGTTCATATAATCTTTTATTTAAATTATCCTACGTAGTTTTGGTATATATATATATATATATATATATATATATATATATTAAACTGGCCCCAAAGGTAGTTATTATTGACTTAAATAAGATAAAATTATTATACATGCTTAAAAAAGTGAGACATGATTTTTATTAGAAATTTAGTTAAGAGAAAAAGAAGAAAAGCATTTTATGATTAAATTTTGCTCACGTCAAAATATCCTCCTATGAATGCAGCACAAATTTTTCGCAATCATTGGAAAAGTTTCTCGAAGTATAAATTTGATAACTGATTCCATCCTTTTTTCAATGACTCTAAGAGCTTTTTTCATTTTTTTCTCATTCTTCTGTTAAGTGCATCTCATGCTAATTCTGAGGGTGGCTTCAAACTGTAGCATATATATATATATATATATATATATATATATATATATATATGTGTGTGTGTGTGTGTGTGTGTGTGTGTGTGTGTGTGTGTGTGTGTGTGTGCGTGTCAATGGGATAATGACATATGATTTCTTTATATATCAAGAACAATTTTGGAGAAAGATGTATGACAAAGTGGAAAAAAGTTTTCGTGGTATGACACGTCACTTCCTTTGGGACTTCATCAGACTAAGTTTATGTTTACTTTAGTTGTAGAGTGGTTAAATGAAACGGCCAAATATAAGCAGTCGTGTACGCGTGTGCTGGTGCGCATACGAAGGCAAGCAAATAAATAATCATCAAATTTATGCATGAGGTGTAAACGTAATAGTGCTCAATGCGGTTATACAGACCAAAGATATGTATTAATTAATACATGTACGCGTACCTACGTTTTGGCGTGCGACTATAGTTTTTCTGGATGGCGTTCCCAGTTCATCGGACACGGGGTCTAGAACCTGTGCCCGATGAGTTGGCATATATATATATATATATATATATATATATATATATATATATCTCGGTATAATCTGAATGGTACAAGAGGCATAATAGTTTCTGCTCCCGTGTTCTAACCACTGAACTGGCAATGATTAATGTGACTTCATTTTACAGCAAGGTTCACCCTGTACAAGGCTCGGGGGCAACTCGAGATAGAGGGTTACGTTAAGGGGTAGTCTATATTGATAGGAGTGGAAGATAACGGTTAACTCAACACATGAACAGGTTAAGATTGTAGTGATCGGAAAAACAGCCCCTTGGGAGTCTGTCACACAGAGTAGTGGTTTGCGGGAAAAAGTTACTTTTTGCCAATGAAATATGGAGGGAATGTGGGTTTGCTACTATGTAAGTGGCATGGCCTTATTCACAAAGCTCGCCTTCCGATTTGTCAATGATTTTCTAAAAAACTTTACTTATTCGAAGCCAATGGGCATTGGTCTAAGTCTCATTTTCCAAGAACTCATGTGGACAAAGTTAAATAGTCAAGTTATTCGTTATCAAGCCAGATTTTGGCGTGCATCGATCGAAAGCCATGACAACGGTTAAGTCCGGATACAAAGAAGCAAAAAATAATAAGTCATTTCCGATACCAACGTAACAAATCAGAACAAATTAACATGTGATTAATGAAGAGATATGGTCGAGTAGGGATTTTCGTCAGTAGAAGAATAATCATTATGATATATATTGGCGGTGGTGGTGGGCGGGGGGTAAAAAAGAGAATATCGTGTTAAAGAGAAATAGAGAGAATGGATCTGATACAGGGAGGAGAGATCGTGTTAAAGAGAAATAGAGAGAATAGATCTGATACAGGGAGGAGAGATCGTGTTAAAGAGAAATAGAGAGAATAGATCTGATACAGGGAGGAGAGATCGTGTTAAAGAGAAATAGAGAGAATAGATCTGATACAGGGAGGAGAGATCGTGTTAAAGAGAAATAGAGAGAATAGATCTGATACAGGGAGGAGAGCTCGTGTTAAAGAGAAATAGAGAGAATGGATCTGATACAGGGAGGAGAGATCGTGTTAAAGAGAAATAGAGAGAATGGATCTGATACAGAGATGAGAGAAATGTAGAGAATTAGTCTGGTACAGGGCGGGGTATATAAATAGAGTATAAGAGGGACTCATCTGATTAAGGTAGAACGTTTAAGAGAGACAGAGAGAAGGGTGCTTGTAAAGTGAGGACGGCGAGAATGTGTAAAAGAGAGGAGAAAATATCTGATAACGAGAGGAGGGACGGGTCGTGTTAAAGAGAAATAGGGAGAATGTACCGGATAAAGGGAGGAGAGAAAAATCGTGCTAAAGAGAAAGAGAGTATGATTCTGATAAAGAGAGGAGAGAACGAGAGAGAGCGAGTCTAATAAACGGAGGAGAAAATGGTCGTATTAGAGAGGGAATGTGTCTTATAAAGGGAGGAGAGAAAGATTCTGTTAAAGATAGAGGGAATGTTTCCGATAATGAGAAGAGAGAAAGGTCGTGTTAAAGAGAGAGAATGTTTTTAATAAAGGGACGAGAGAATGATCGTGTTAGAGAGAGAGAGAGAGAAAGAGAGAGAGAGAAAGAGAGAGAGAATATTTCCAATGATAGGAAGAGAAAAACTTCGTGTTAAAGAGAGGGATTTTTCTGATAAAGAGAGGAGAGAATGGGCGTGCTAAGGAGATATATATATATATATATATATATATATATATATATATATAGAGAGAGAGAGAGAGAGAGAAACGGAAAATGTTTCCAATAATTGTAAGAGGCCGTGTTAAAGAGAGAGAAAGAGAGAGAATGTTTCTGATAAAGGAAAAAATGATCGGGTTAAAGAGAGAATGGCTGATAATATGGAGGAGAGAATGATTGTATTAAAGAAAGAGAGAGGGAATATTTCTGATAAAGGGAAGTGAGAAAGAAAATGTAAAAGAATGGACTCAGCTGATTAAAGGAGAAAGTGTAATAGAGAAGGAAAGAATATGCCTTATAAAGGGAGGAAAGAGAGCATGTTTTAAAGAGAGAGAGAATATATCTCTGATAAGTGGAAGGGAAACAGAACGGGTAGGAGAGGATTTGAGTTTTATTCAGAGAGTAAAGAAGAAAACGTAAGAATGAAACAGTGGGGATGTGCCTAACGAAGAACCGAGAGAGCGAAAGTCTAAGAAAGAAAACAAAGAAAGTAGGTGACTAAAATGGCTAGGTATTTTCAACCAAAACCCGCAGTCCGGTTTCGAGCTCATATAAGAAGCCAAGATTTCAAACGTTGATTTCAAAGATCAACCGGCCCTCTCTAAAGAAGGACTGGTGTAATGGTTCTAAATCATCACTTAACACCAGACGACCGAGTGCTATATTGTAGTTAGTATGGAAGCACCCCCATCGCCACACAAAAAAAAAAAAAATCCAGATAATCAGAGACTGGCAGCTGATCTCTCCTCTGACCGAGCTTTAACAGCTCAACGGAGAAAAACTGACTTGTAATTTTCAGTACCTCAAAAACAAATTTAATATCATTTCATCATTAGCGAACAGACCCTGACTTTTCTGCAGTCACGATGAACGGCTGCCCTCTAAAAGAGATTGCTTACCTCGATCCTTTATTGGGACTCAAGTTAACGCCGTACCTCAAGTAGAACTCATATATACGATCCATTGCTAAAGACGTTGGAAAAATGGTTGGCTCTCTCTATCACTCCAGAAATTACCTGAATCCTCTAGCTATGATTTACCTTTACAAAAGTCAGTCGTCCTGGGTATGACGATAAACTACATCCGAGTCCTGGGTAAAACGATAAACTACGCCCAACAGCAAGGAGGTTTTGAGAATCGGGAACCATCTCTTAATTGTTGGTGCTCTCATGTACACCCTGACCCGATGTGGTAGCACCTATTAGGGTCCCAGCTATGGGCAAAAGATTAACCCCCAAACTGGGGTTAAGACGTTGTGAAAGTGTAAAAATAGGTTTTAATACCAACAATACATTTTTGTAAAAGTTATTACTAGCAATACATTTTTGAAGAAAAAATATTACAAGGAATACATTTTTGAAAACAAAAGTATTACCAGTAATAAAAATCTTGTCGACATTAAATAACCTGTTGTGATTGATATGATGTAAACCAAACCAAACCAAACCAAAAAGTCAGATTAAACTAAAAATGGATTTTTGCGACAGCATCTGGGCTGGAGCTGTTCAATCCTCACTTTCCAGCCTTGGTAGAGTTCAAAATCGTTTACATGGCCTTGTTGGGGGATTACATTTTCCACGCTGCAGTCTCCCCCTACAAATGCAACGTCGCGATCCTTTCTTTTCTATATCACTACCTACATGACAATTGTTCAAGCGTGCTCCATTCTTTAGTTCCACCAGTTAAAACCTTTAGAGCTAAGACCCACCAAACTTCGTTCACGGAGTCAAACCACATTCATTTCCTCCATATTCTGCTTGTAAGAAGGAAGCTCCACTCAGACAGCTCCTCCCCGGGAACCGCTGGGTTGTGTAACAGACTAATGCGTTAAAGCTTCCATGAAAACTATAATCTGAACTTCTTCAAATCAGTGGTCAATCGTTACCCTCCTTATCCACATCACCTTTAATTCCTACTTTCTCCTCTTACATTCATATTATAAATATCAGTAGCTTTTTAGCCTTGTATTGTATGAATCTTAACAATAATAATAATAATAATGATTGAATTAAATAAACCTATTAATGCCCACCATAACATCCAGTATTACTTATAGGTTTATAGAAATTATGGTATGAATCATACGTTTTAAAATTTCAGTATTAAATATAAGGTTTTATCTATATCCCATTAATCCTCATCAACCTAATTTGGGGTTATATATTAACCCGTCTTTTTGTTCACACAATATCTCCAAAACTAATGAAATTCTATTAAATTTTGTGGAAGGTTGGACCATGGGCCAAGGAGCAATTGCTTAAATTTGAGGTCAGATACAGGATTTTTTTCAATTCTGTTAACATTTCAAGGTAGATAGATTTTTCGATTTTCATCTGTAATAAAATGAACTTCAAGATAGTGACGTCCTCATAAGGTCCCAATGGTATACTTAGTTGTTCGTGAATCAGTGAAGGTATCTACATAAGGTACCTCCATTGATTCGTTAAAAAAGAAGCAAATCTTTATGATATTATTAAGAGGAAAGACCAAAGGATTTTTTATTATTAAATTATAGATTTTTTTATCCTTTTTAGAACGTTCGAAAATTTCGTTAAAAAATCTTGGGGTTTTTTTTTGTTTTGTTTTTTTTTTTTTTTTTGCAGGGAAAAACATTGATTTCGAAATTCTTGCAAAAATCAAATAATTGTCGGATTTTAATGAGACTTTCAGGACTTATACAGAAATGATTTTTTTTTTTACAAAATCTTCATAAAAATATTCTTTTTACATGTTACCCTTCCATCCGTCTTATTTAATTTTATGAAATTTTGAGAAATTCAATTTTGCAAAGATTAATGTTTAAATTAAAATCTGCTCTGAATCGTAAAAAATGCAATAAAACTAAGATATTATTTAATTAGAAAAGCTTTTAATTGCTTATATGAAAAAAGCTATATTATGAACACTATTGTCTTAAGAAATAAAAATTCGAATTTTTTTATTTTTTCAAGTTTTAATTATAATAATTTATATAGTTTTAAGTCTTTTAAAATTAAGTCTTAATTTGAAGACGTTCAGTGATATTGTTATTTAGTAAAAACTTTGTTTACTAATCATAAATGGAAAAGATTATTATAATTTAGTGACTCTTTGTATTTTAAAAAAGAATTTTGAATTTTTTTCTATGTGCATAAACGTGCTGATTTTTGTAAATAAGGATATCCATGCACTAAATTATCAGAAAATAAAAGCAATAACTCTAGTAAATTTAAAGCCAAACTACTTAAAATTTAATAAAACATTAGATTACGGAAAATATTTTCCTAAATTTTTAAGGTTACTGGATAGTTAAAAATTATATAAAAAAGGTTTTCATATTATATTATTCAAGTCATTTTTTCAGATATATCCACCATAGAAAAAATATAGAAATACTTCCGTCTGTCAGTCAAGCTGTCAACACCTGAAACAGCTACTACCGTCTTAAAAAATGCATTTCTGTGATATTTTAAACTTAAAGTAATATTTGTTTCAAATAAGATTAATTAAACTTTAAATCAGCTAATATTCCTCAAAGAAGGATTTTTCATTTTTCAAATTCATTTTAAACATTAAGGATCGCGTTTCTGTGAAGGTACCTATATAAAATTCACTATTTTTTATCTATAATGTTGAATGTGTTAAAATTATTCAACTTTTTAGCAAGATAAATCTCAGGTTGGTGTTAAAAATTGCTGGAAAACAGTGTTGATTCATTTAAGAACGATCTATTATGACATATCTCTAATTTATTTTTAGATATATAGATACATTGTATTTATTTTCAGTTTTTCTAGTCGAATTGCTCACATATATTGCATAGGATCTATTATTGTATATAATTAGATTACAATAAAATTTGTATTTCATATGAATACTACGTCATGAAAATTGAGATGATAACAGCAAAACTTGCAATATGAGCACTGGTAAAAAATGTTTTCTGAAGACATTGGGTTTATAATATCTAGAAATTCATACACAGATGGGTTTTATTTTTGGCTGGGCCTACGGGCTCAGACATACCCACATTAAAAAGGCCTTGTGCCACATTCGGTCCCCGTGGGTGGATTGATAAATACCGTCCTAAAAGACACGTGGCACAGTGGATAAAGGCGTTAGTGACAGGACCCAAAGAGTGTGAGTTCAACACCTGGCTAAGGGGAATTAACAGGAGATAACTGATAACTAACATCCATTAGACATGGCACGTGTAACTAGAACAGTTTACTCCAGCGAGCAAAATAAAGGGTTCAGTTCGACATTCCAACCACCTGAAGAAATGTTGTGATAAATATGGCAACAAAGATGAGGATGATAGTCCGAACAATGTAAATAGTGTACATAATACCTCATCTGATATCTGTTAAACCTGTCAGCCCATAATGACTTACAGTCTGCTCTTTTGTGAACACAATAAAAATAGCGAAGTTGAAACAATTCAAGTACTGTTTGTGCAGTTACTGATTCCATTGTCAGAGTAAATCTCACATTAAACTCTGCGTTTGTTGTTGTTTTTTTTTTTTTGTTTTTTTTTTTTGTTTTTGATAGCTGAGTTCGAATTGTTGGAAGCCAAACCTCACTATGCTCTAATTCGACATCGACGTCTCACTCACATATCTAGCACCTGCTGGAAGGGTATCGGACCGTAAGAAAATATTTTTAGTTTGTAAGAATGTTTTTGGAATAATAATGATTTACAAGTCCTACTTATTAAGCCATAGCTGGAGGTAAGTAAATTCATGCCTTTCCCAAGGGTACTTGTGGGTAAGTGAATATAACGATTCCGATTGGAATTGAAACTCGACTCTCAGGTTTCCAATTCGGAACCGTTATTCATTACACCACCCACACATATGCAAAAAACAAGAAAACTGACAAACCAAATGCTATACCACATAAATTGTAAAAAAAAAAAAAAAATCAGACTACAAATAGTAGAAGCATTAATCATAAAAATCAATCCAAAATCAATAAAATGTTATGAAAACCAGGATCAAATACAATTAATATATTTCATTAAAATAATAATAATAATAATAATGCAAGAGCGCGAACACTCACGTGACGACGGAAGAAGCGATATTTGAAAACGATGAAACTGACATTGTACAAAAAACAAAAATTTTTTGATGACAGTTTTTGAAAGCCGTAAGTATTCAGGTATTGAACAATTTATATCCACATTTTCACTGTAAACCAGAAAAATGATCCGAAACATAGAAAATAGATAAATAAATTCTAAATATTTTTTCCTCGTAACTAAAGAGATTTACCTTATTTTCTTTTATGTGCTAATATCTTCTTTTGTTTTTAGTAACAGATACAGTTTGTAACTGTTCGGTGTAAGACTCTAATTTTTCTTTTATTATTAATCATATGTTAAAGAAAAAAAAATTGTCTACTTTGATAAAGCATTTTCAATTTTACACCGGATACATTTCTACTTTTCAATAGTATTTTTAAATACTTAATAAAGTTTTAAATAAT